ATGAGTGATTTCAAATATTTAGATTTTTCGAGCTTCGTTAATTTTAGCTGGTTCTAGTTTTTTGAAATCCAATTTCGGTTTATTAGGTGATGAGTGATTTCAAATATAAAGATTTTTTGAGCTTCGTTATTTTTAGCTGGTTCTAGTTTCTTGAAATCCAATTTGGGTTTATAAGGTGATGAGTGATTTCAAATATTTAGATTTTTCGAGCTTCGTTAATTTTAGCTGGTTCTAGTTTTTTGAAATCCAATTTCGGTTTATTAGGTGATGAGTGATTTCAAATATAAAGATTTTTTGAGCTTCGTTATTTTTAGCTGGTTCTAGTTTTTTGAAATCCAATTTGGGTTTATTAGGTGATGAGTGATTTCAAATATTTAGATTTTTCGAGATTCGTTATTTTTAGCTGGTTCTAGTTTTTTGAAATCCAATTTGGGTTTATTAGGTGATGAGTGATTTCAAGTAAATAGATTTTTTAAGCTTCGTTATTTTTAGCTGGTTCTAGTTTTTTGAAACCAATTTGGGTTTATTAGGTGATGAGTGATTTCAAAAATTTAGATTTTTTGAGCTTCGTTATTTTTAGCTGGTTCTAGTTTTTTGAAATCCAATTTGGGTTTATTAGGTGATGAGTGATTTCAAATATAAAGATTTTTTGAGCTTCGTTATTTTTAGCTGGTTCTAGTTTTTTGAAATCCATTTTGGGTTTATTAGGTGATGAGGGATTTCAAATATTTAGATTTTTCGAGCTTCGTTGTTTTTAGCTGGTTCTAGCTTTTTGAAATCCAATTTGGGTTTATTAGGTGATGAGTGATTTCAAGTATTTAGATTTTTTGAGCTTCGTCATTTTTAGCTGGTTCTAGTTTTTTGAAATCCAATTTGGGTTTATTAGGTAATGAGTGATTTCAAAAATTTAGATTTTTTGAGCTTCGTTAATTTTAGCTGGTGCTAGTTTTTTGAAATCCAATTTGGGTTTATTAGGTGATGAGTGATTTCAAATATAAATATTTTTTGAGCTTCGTTATTTTTAGCTGGTTCTAGTTTTTTGAAATCCAATTTGGGTTTATTAGGTGATGAGTGATTTCAAATATAAAGATTTTTTGAGCTTCGTTATTTTTAGCTGGTTCTAGTTTTTTGAAATCCAATTTGGGTTTATTAGGTGATGAGGGATTTCAAATATTTAGATTTTTCGAGCTTCGTTGTTTTTAGCTGGTTCTAGTTTTTTGAAATCCAATTTGGGTTTATTAGGTGATGAGTGATTTCAAGTATTTAGATTTTTTGAGCTTCGTTATTTTTAGCTGGTTCTAGTTTTTTCAAATCCAATTTGGGTTTATTAGGTAATGAGTGATTTCAAAATTTTAGATTTTTTGAGCTTCGTTATTTTTAGCTGGTGCTAGTTTTTTGAAATCCAATTTGGGTTTATTAGGTGATGAGTGATTTCAAATATAAATATTTTTTTGAGCTTCGTTATTTTTAGCTGGTTCTAGTTTTTTGAAATCCAATTTGGGTTTATTAGGTGATGAGTGATTTCAAATATAAAGATTTTTTGAGCTTCGTTATTTTTAGCTGGTTCTAGTTTTTTGAAATCCAATTTGGGTTTATTAGGTGATGAGGGATTTCAAATATTTAGATTTTTCGAGCTTCGTTATTTTTAGCTGGTTCTATTTTTTTTAAATCCAATTTGGGTTTATTAGGTGATGAGTGATTTCAAATATAGAGAATTTTTGAGCTTCGTTATTTTTAGCTGGTTCTAGTTTTTTGAAATCCAATTTGGGTTTAATAGGTGAAGAGTGATTTCAAATATTTAGATTTTTCGAGCTTCGTTATTTTTAGCTGGTTCTAGTTTTTTGAAATCCAATTTGGGTTTATTAGGTGATGAGTGATTTCAAATATAAAGATTTTTTGAGCTTCGTTATTTTTAGCTGGTTCTAGTTTTTTGAAATCCAATTTGGGTTTATTAGGTGATGAGTGATTTCAAATATAAAGATTTTTTGAGCTTCGTTATTTTTAGCTGGTTTTAGTTTTTTGAAATCCAATTTGGGTTTATTAGGTGATGAGTGATTTCAAATATTTAGATTTTTCGAGCTTCGTTATTTTTAGCTGGTTCCAGTTTTTTGAAATCCAATTTGGGTTTATTAGGTGATGAGTGACTTCAAATATAAAGATTTTTTGAGATTCGTTATTTTTAGCTGGTTCTAGTTTTTTGGAATCCAATTTGGGTTTATTGGGTGATGAGTGATTTCAAATATTTAGATTTATCGAGCTTCGTTATTTTTAGCTGGTTCTAGTTTTTTGAAATCCAGTTTGGGTTTTTTAGGTGATTAGTGATTTCAAATATTTAGATTTTTCGAGCTTTGTTATTTTTAGCTGGTTCTAGTTTTTTTGAAATCCAATTTGGGTTTATTAGGTGATGAGTGATTTCAAATATTTAGATTTTTCGAGCTTCGTTATTTTTAGTTGGTTCTAGTTTTTTGAAATCCAATTTGGGTTTATTAGGTGATGAGTGGTTTCAAATATAAAGATTTTTTGAGCTTCGTTATTTTTAGCTGGTTCTAGTTTTTTGAAATCCAATTTGGGTTTATTAGGTGATGAGTGATTTCAAATATTTAGATTTTTCGAGCTTGGTTATTTTTAGCTGGTTCTAGTTTTTCTGAAATCCAAATCGTGTTTATTAGGGGATGAGTGATTTCAATTACAAAGATTTTTCGAGCTTCGTTTATTTTAGCTGGTTCTAGTTTTTTGGAAATCCAATTCGGGTTTATTAGATGATGAATGATTTCAATTTTTTAGATTTTTCGAGCTTCGTTATTATTAGCTGGTTCTACTTTTTTGCAATCCAATTTGGGTTTATTAGGTGATGAGTGATTTCAAATATTTAGATTTTTCGAGCTTCGTTATTTTTAGCTGGTTCTAGTTTTTTGAAATCCAATTTGGGTTTATTAGGTGATGAGTGATTTCAAATATTTAGATTTTTTGAGCTTCGTTATTTTTAGCTGGTTCTAGTTTTTCTGAAATCCAAATCGTGTTTATTAGGGGATGAGTGATTTCAATTACAAAGATTTTTCGAGCTTCGTTATTTTTAGCGGGTTCTAGTTTTTTTTGAAATCCAATTTGGGTTTATTAGATGATGAGTGATTTCAAATTTTTAGGTTTTTCGAGCTTCGTTATTTTTAGCTGATTCTAGTTTTTTGAAATCCAAATGGGGTTTCTTAGGTGATGAGTGATTTCAAATATAAAGATTTTTTGAGCTTCGTTATTTTTAGCTGGTTCTAGTTTTTTGAAATCTAATTTTGGTTTATTAGGTGATGAGTGATTTCAAATATAAAGAATTTTTGAGCTTCGTTATTTTTAGCTGGTTCTAGTTTTTTGAAATCCAATTTGGGTTTATTAGGTGATGAGTGATTTCAAATATAAAGATTTTTTGAGCTTCGTTATTTTTAGCTGGTTCTAGTTTTTTGAAATCCAAATTGGGTTTATTAGGTGATGAGTGATTTCAAATATAAAGATTTTTTGAGCTTCGTTATTTTTAGCTGGTTCTAGTTTTTTGAAATCCAATTTGGGTTTATTAGGTGATGAGTGATTTCAAATATAAAGAATTTTTGAGCTTCGTTATTTTTAGCTGGTTCTAGTTTTTTGAAATCCAATTTGGGTTTATTAGGTGATGAGTGATTTCAAATATTTAGATTTTTCTAGCTTCGTTATTTTTAGCTGGTTCTGGTTTTTCTGAAATCCAAATCGTGTTTAATAGGGAATGAGTGATTTCAATTACAAAGATTTTTCGAGCTTCGTTATTTTAGCTGGTTCTAGTTTTTTTTAAAATCCAATTCAGGTTTATTTGGGGATGAGTGATTTCAAATATAAAAATTTTTCGAGCTTCGTTATTTTTAGCTGGTTCTAAGTTTTTTTGAAGTCCAATTTGGGTTTATTAGATGTTGAGTGATTTCAAAAATTAGGGGTCTATTAGGGGATGAGTGATTTCAAATAGCTTCCAATTCACACGTTGGAAATTGTGCAAAATACAAAACAAGATGTAACTTGCAAATACTTATTATCCTTCCAAATATCAGCTCCCTGTGATCATTGGAGGCCGAGAAACGACTTCCTGAAGTTAAAGGTGTGTTTGTTTACTTAGGACATAAAACAGGAAGTGGGGGTTCTAGGTTTCTGAGGTTCTAAACTTAAGCTTCCCTCAACATTCTAAAACTTGAGCCGAAAACCACTGCTATTTTCCGAGTTCTGATAGGGCCTTTTACACTTCCGGGGATCTTTATCACTTGCCCCCCAAGGGTCTGAGGGGTTCGGTTTTCATATGCCCGTGTCAAATCATCTTTAGTATCGCTCATCTGACTGTCATAACATAAGCTTCCTTAGTTCCAATTTGGTTGGGGTGAGGGGGGGGGGGGTATTGGGTTCGCTTCGCAGATGTTGTTAAATTTTTTTTCTGGCATAGGAGGGACGATATATTCGAAGATTGAACTAATTCGAACTCGACCTTTTAATGCTGTATTACTTAACCTAATGACTAATCGATCTAACGCTCAGGTTACCATAGCATGTAATAAAGTAGAATCATCAGTTTTACAGGGTCGCAATGTATGTTGCTCAATCAAAGTCCTGCAAAACCCGATTGTATGTTGTTTGCATGTGTGTTGTTGCTTAGCTCTACCAAATTTAAAGCTTAAGGGGTTTCCTTAGAAAATTTGGTAAAACTTTGTTCCCTTTTTGCTCAAAACTGCCATTAAAGTAAGTCTTTCGGGCTCTTCAGGAATATACCAGAAAACATACGAAACAGGAAAATTGTGCAGTCTTACAATTTTCCTATTTGAAAAAGTTGCACTTGTGATCAAAGCTGCAATTGTAATAACACTCGCAGATCCTGTTTTTTTTAATGACGTGTGTTGTAAAAAGTTCTAAAAATTGCGATTTTCAGGACTTTGTAAAATTTTTTTATAGATGATAAACGGAGTAAAAACAACTACTCTCATATGAAGTGATAGTTTTCATACCTGCTCCTCCTGTTGGTGACGCCATTTTGTTCGGGATTGAGTGAAGTTACGAAGCAGATTTGTAAAGACAACCTAAAAGTAAAAAAGTTCAGTTTCAGGTTTTTCAGTTTTGACAGGGTATGTTGAAACGTCTATTTCTTAAAAAACTTTTATCAGGACAGGAAAGTGGTCGTTAGTGACTTGTCTTAAAAGGAGACAGATCTCAATGAGAAGTATGGATAGGATATTAGTTATCTTGTTTTTTGCTGCTCTGATCAAACAAACGAACTCAAAAAACTTTTTTCTTTTTTTAACGGTGAAATATAAAGTGTAGGCCTAACCTACGTCCGCTTTTAAAATACGCGTTGCTTTTAAAATACGCGAGTTTTTTTTGCGCATTTCAATTTTCCAGCAGTGATATGATTTTTTATTAAAATGGCTGCATCTGTTTTGCAAATTCACCTTTTTCTCAATTCGTTGAAATGTTATTTAAGTTATGCTGATAATTTGATTTTTTCAATATAACCTTACTTTTTTTGAAACACGAAATTGTTCTATTGCGAAGATAAAATTAATAATTTGGTGTTACAGATCTGGACTATCTGGAACTTAGTAATGACAAGTTTAGTTCTCAGTATTGCTTGTTTCAACAATTGAAAGGGCAGTTGTTTTTCAAGGTAAAATGGGCTAAGTTTCGGAATCTGAACTGCTGATTTGATTGGAAATTTAGAACTGTTGATTTTAACTTTAATACAGGGAGGTTTTTATCCTCTGAGCTAGTAATTAATTTGCTCGATATAGTGTGTAAACCAGAATATCAGAAAAAACGGTTTGTTGAATCAGAATAAATGGTAAGACTCAGTCGAAGTGCGATAGCTGTTTTTATTTTATCTTAATTCAAGTCAGTGAAAAAATACAAGAAAAAACATGATAGATGACTAACACAAATTATCAGCTTATAAGTGAGTAAGTTATCGTGTCCGTCAATTTTCAGATTTTTTATATCTTTTTGCTGACTTGAGTTACAGATAAATTAAAAATACACAATTAACTCATAAACTAAAATGCGCAGACTGATTTCTCATATTTAAAACAAAACCTCCAGCTTATATTAGCAGTTTTACACGTTTATAAGTTGATCAAGATGTTAAAGATCCAAAAAATAATAAATCTGAAAACCGCTTTGTTTCTAAGTTGACTCATGCTTAACTTTTTGAGTTTTCGTTTGAGCAATCAAGTTTTTTAGAAAGCTAGCTGCCAATTTTTCATACAAGAGTAAAAAAAGTAGGTTGATTCAAATTACAAACAATTGATATTTATTTGAATAACCAACCCAGGTTGACCTCCATATACCGAAAAAGCTTATCATACAATTTCAAACAACAAAAATCATTATCATACAAATCCATACATCAAGTGTATTGAGTTAAGTATTGTCTACTGTACTCATAGAGTAATTTCAGATAAGTACACCATCTGCTCGTCACGCTATCTTATTTTCGGCCGGATAGATTCGTGCAAATTCTTAGTCTAATACAAATCTTAATCTTACTCTTATATCTCCTAGTCTCAATAGATCTAGTGTACACCAGTTTGCGCGAGTTAGTTCCAGAATGAGAACAACTGTATTCTAAGTTTAATTCAAAATGCTCTGGTGTTGAAACTACAAGTAGTTTCAACACTTTACAAATAAATACGTTGTTAGTTTGATGGAGTATGATTGTTTAAAATATAATAAAATATCATAATAATAACCAATGATAAATACTAGTTTAGATTTGGTTCCACCCATCCGGCGTTTAGAGAGTTTTAGTTTTTCAATGTTCTATTGTAGTGTAGGATGGATGGTGATGTTTTTCTTTAGAGGTTGTGAATATATTCTTTTTTTCTGGTTTGGAAGAAGAGATGTTATCACGATCGTTTTGGGAGCTCGTATTATGGGTTCTGATCGATTGTGATGAGTGTTGATCTGATTGATTTCAGAAAATAGGAAAGTTGCTATTCTCAATCTTGTTCGGATGTGGCATGTAGTTCGACTTTGGATGAAGTGCCTGGTGACTTGGATCTGTATGTATATTTGAACATCGAGATGGCCATTGTTCTGTTGCAATTGGTTTCGTTTGCTGCGATGCCAAGGCGTACTTTAAATCCATTGAGTGTATTGATTGTGGGCGTCATGTCAGTTGGTTTTGCCATTTCGTAGTTGGATTGTGATTGGGTTGTCAAATTCCTTGCTGCTCGTTTTTGGGCTGTATGTAATCTTTTTACTGCATTGTATATTTTACATAAACAAACCTTGTTTTTTAGTTATGATCTTTTATTAGTTTTTATCGCTAAAGCGTTACTATTTAGTTCGGTTATTTTTAAAAGCCACTCACACTTGATTAACTCCCGTCAAAAAAGTCTCGTGGGTGTCACCGGCTATAGAGCATGCTCAGCACGTTCTCTTCTGGTGAATTAGGCCAGAAGTGAGGTTATAGTTTCATGCTCTCTTTTTTGGAGAGTCCTGTTTTTAGTTGAACCTTTCATGCTTTTTTTATTACTAGTGTTTGCTTTTGTTGTCTTAGTTATAACTTTTTCTTAAAATTGTTTGTTTTGGGTTTGTCTTTCGACTTTTGTTGTTTTGTTCTTTTGTGTTCAGACTTAAAAGAAGTCTTCAAAAGAATAATTTATCCAGTTCTAAGCTGGTGTTAATCCAGTTTGGGTACCGTGGGTTTTCTTTTCTTGGTCATGCTGTTAGGTTGTGCTTTATGGTGTTTAGTAAGCTTATTTGCTTAGTTTAGATTATTATATAAAGCCTTTCCAACCGGATTGAAGGAAGATTTGAAACGTGATAAAACTTTTTAGAGTTGTTATCAGTGAAAGTTAAAACTTAAGTTCAATATTTTAAACAATTCTTTGTGGACGAGCTGTGCAATTCTGGATAGAATTGGTGGGCGAATGAAAATAAAGAAGCGCCTCGGAAAAGGTTAGTTTGAGTATCTGCAGTTTATGAACAATTTTATTAATTAGCTACTTTAAAATTATGAAATTTACTGCTTGATTCGGGGGTTGAAATTATTACTTTATTTTCAATTGTATGAATATTTTCTGCTTTGGGGAAAAAAATTTCTCATTCAATTTAGCGCTTTGTGTGGGATAATTTTGTTGCTTCAGTTATTGAATAGGTTAATAGAAATTTATGAATTGAAAAAAAAGTTCTGTTTATTATTTTGCTTTTTGTTTTGTAGATGATTGATGATTGTGCCTATGAAGAAAAAAGAAAACATTGATTAAATATGGCTAGTGTTGTTTGAATTTATTAGTAAATTGTTGATTTCATATTACCTAATTGTCGGTAAAGAAGCCATGGGGAAAAATGTCGTGGATGACATCAAATGAGGTTAGTAGTTTAGCTAGCAAACCAATAATGTGTTTAGTTTGCTGAAGTGAAAAGCAATTCGAGTGCTTTAATGATGTTGTGCTCTTCAGTGTTAGATGATTTTTCACACGGTGTGTTTTGAATGAGGTTATAGAGTTTATGATTATAGCGAGGGTTAAATATTTATTCTAGGACTGGGACTTCAACGGGCTGGAGGAATTCATGAGGGACAATTAGTGGGCGGGTTTCGTCTTCATTTAGGAGTCTGGTTAGGGGACAGAAGATATACATCTGGATGATGGGATCGTAGTTTGGAGGGTGCCTTGTAAGTTAGTGTCTTTGTTACAAAAGGTGAAATTAAGAAAGAATGGTAATCTGTTTTTAGAGTTTAATGTTTTGATATCTATGGTGAGGTTGTCGTTCTGGTGCTTTGAGAGTGTAATGGTGTTGAATGAACTTGTAGCTTGTAAAAGTGTACTTGTGTGTTTTCTTAATTTGTAACATGACTTCGTGTGAACAGTGCAAATCACGTTCTTTGGGTGTGGGGAAATACAAGGTCAGTGAAAAGTGATTAAACTTGTTAAAGTATGATTAATAAGCATGAATATCATGTAGTGCTGCTGAGATGACGTTGACGTATTTTTATATGAGATGTTGAGGGTGAATGTGTATGAGGTTTTGATGAAATATTTCTCTGTTAGTTGGGGACCAGAAAATGGGTCGTTGTTTAGAAAAATGTCTTTATAGGGTCGTCTGATGTAATGATCGTAATAATCGATGGAATAACTGTTAGCTTTAGGTGCAGTGAATTTGGTTAGTGGTTGTCTGTATCCTATTTGTGTGAATTGTTTGGGGTTAGTGCTGTTGTTAGAAGGTAGAGTTGGGTGCTGCACACTTCATTGTCATAAGGGGTGTTATATAGTGGCATCGATAGTGGATTAGTAAAGTGGTAGTGTGATGTCATGAAAATGTAGGGTATAATACGAGCTTGTTTACATAAATGGGTTTCTCGTCATTGGGGCCTGGATGGAAGCATGTGTTTTGTGGGAAAAAGTTTAGACATGTTTGGAGAATTTCTTGGGTATTAGTGTGAAGTGGATGATTGACAAATGATGTGGATGTTCTTGGTTTAGATAGGAATGGAAAATTTGGGAATTTTCTTTTAAAGGTTCGGTAAGCTCTGGTTGTACTGGAGGATGGTGTTGATGAGCGAGTCGGGTTTTGTGAAGGGGTATGAGTCGAAGAAGAAATTGGGGTTGATGGGTTAGATGGTGTTATAGGTCGTGAGATTTGATGAATAGTTAGAGTTTGAGGGTGTTGTAATTGTTGATGCAGTATTATGATTTTATCAAGCTCGTGTGAGATTTGTGTGTTTTCTCAATCGTTGTTATCGGATGGTTCACTGGTTAGGGGGGAATATATGGTTGTCACAATTGAAATGGGAGAGGGAGGAGAAGGGAGTTCAATTTTGACTTGGGAACGAATAGGTTGAAAAGGAGGTTGGAAAAATGTAGATCAATTGGGTTCAGAGTTGGCAAATTTGTCGTGTGTTTCGATATCGGAGTTGTTGAATTGGGAGATAGTGTTGTATACTGTTGTGTTGGAATTAGTGTCTGATTCCATGCTGGATGAGGTGTTATGATGGGTTGATTGAGGTGGTGGGAAAAGAAAAAGTGGGGTGATGGTGAGATTGTTCTGGAAGTTGGCTGGGTGGGAATTTGATCGATGGAGGGATCCAACAACTTGGCGGCTCATCGTGGGCTAAAAAGATGGTTGTTCTGAGAACAAAAATTAGTGGTATGTACTTGTTCTATAATTTGTTCGTAAGTGTCTTCTATTTTGGGTTGTTGAGTTATTATGTGTTGAATCGGGCTTTGTGGATAAATAGATCTCAATGTTATGAGGTCAACTAGGTCGATATTTTTGATAGTTCGCGGTACCAATGATAGGGGATGGTTATGGTTTAGGTTTGTAATTGTGGTGCTGTGGGTGTTGTATTCGTATCGTTTCATGATAAGTCATATGTGTTTGGTGTTGTTGATAGCTTGATATTGTATTCTTTTACTTGAGCGTCTAAAATTATTTTATTGATTGATGTCGAAATTATTCCAAAAAATCATGCGAAAAGGATGCGTGCTACACTTGCTTGTTTGCTTACTTGTGTGTGTATTGCGCATGAATTCTAGATTCCTGTTAAGAGAGAGAAAAAAATCCAAGAAAATTAAACATTGCATATAATATAGTCAATCTTTCTAAGATGTAATAGGGCCATCCTATAAATGCAAGAAGTTCGCTTTTCAAGTTTACAAAACTAAAAGTAATTAGTGGTGATATATCTTGTGGTCGGTATTTTTTGCCATTTAAGTAAATGTACTCTTATATCTTTAAAATACCCGCTATAGTCTTGTGCGTATAGGTCTGAAAAGCCTGCTGTTTCTGCAAGTTTGCGTAGGTTTTGATCTATGGATTGTCGTTGTATTGTGTCCAATTGTGTGAGTAATTCTTGAAACTGTTGTGTTGGAATATGATGTTGGATATCGGATTTAGAGTGAAAGCCGATTTATTGTTAA